AATTATAATTTATATTATAAATATAAATCCTTATTATTGTAGATAATTCCTTATTTATTTTGGATATTAACCAAAGTGTGCCCCCTGGATGGAATTTTAAGCAACTCACTATGACCACAGCTATCTGAGCTGCCCTCAGCACTGGCCCCATTTCCTGTGTGCACCCCATTTCACTTCTCAGGTCCCTGCAGTGGCTCCCCCACATCTCCACACTCTCCTCAAATCCACTCACTCTGTACCACTCCCACGAGCTATCAGCCCTCAGCTTTGCAGAGCAGAGAGAATGCAAACTCACTTATATGCCTGTCTCTTCTGCATCTGCACATCACCTCCTCCTACAGGCCTTTGACTTTAACCTCTCTGTATCTCTTTCCTCTTTGGTGAGGTGGGCATAATAATGCCTTCCCCGCAGGATTGTTGGAGGGATCTAATCAAGCAAGCCATGTAAATTGACAAATGAGGGCCTCTTTTGTTGAGGCCTTCTGTTAATGATGGTCACCATTATTTTATGCTACCTCCTTTGGGAGCTCACATCATAAATAGTTCCTTGATCTCTTAGATCTTTAATCTCTCCCTTGGCTCCTTCTTCACTCCCTGAAAAATATTGGTCCTAAAATTGATACTTTCTCTCAGCCATGCTCCTTGAGCCGTTTCTAGGCTTGCTTTACTCACAGAGATCTTGACGGCTGTATATGCAGTCTCCACAAACTTGCCTTCAATCAGTGTTCGTCAAAGACTCACTGATTTCCAAAGCAGAGGTCAAGATCTTCTGTGGTCCTTGCCCCCACTTCACTGCATGGCTACATTTAATGCTAAGGGAAGGGAGCTCTACAGAGGAGGGAGTAGTCAATGATGTCAAATGTGGCTACTTGATGCATGATCCATTTTGAGTTAATTTTTATATAAGATTTTAGGTTTAAATTGAGGCTGGGTTTTTGGCCTGTGGATATCCAACACCATTTGTTGAAAAGACTGTCCTCCCTTCACTGAATTGCTTTTGCACCTTTGTCAAAAATCAGTTGACCACAGTTGTCAAGATCACGCAGTCTTGATTACTAGAGCTATGTAATATGTCTTGGAATCAAGTAGACTGATTCCTCTGACTTTATTCTTCTTTGTAGAAGTTGCTTTCGCTGTCCCAGTTCCTTTGCCAATCCACATACATTTTGACAATAATATACAAAAGACTTGTGCTGAGATTTTAACAGGAATTGCGTTAAACATGTATGTCAATTTGGGGAGAATTGACACTATGTTGAGTCTTCCAATCCATGAACATGTTATGTCTCTCCACTTACTTCGATTGTCTTTGATTTCTTTCATTGGCATTTTGTAGTTTTCAGCATACAAGTCCTATGTGTGTTTTTTCTGTTTTTATATTGACAGATAAATTGTATGTATTTGTTGTATGCAACATGATGTTTTGAAGCACATACGCATTGTGGAATGACTAAATCTAGTTAATTAACAGATGAATTACCTCATATGAGAGGTTAGAACACAATAGCCACACTCAAAGTATTTTTCAAGAATACAATGCTATTATTAACTATAGTCAGCATGTTGTACAATTTATTTAACTGAAATTTTGTATCCTTTGACCAACATTTCCCCAACATTTGACCAACATTTCCCCAACTTCCTTTACAACAACCACTCCAGCCGTTGGTAACCACCATTCTGTTCTCTATTTCTTTTTTTTTTTTTTTTTGAGATGGAGTCTCGCTCTGTCACTCAGGCTGAATGGCAGTGACGTGATCTCAGCTCACTGCAACCTCCACCTCCTGGGTTCAAGCAATTCTCTGCCTCAGCTTCCCAAGTAGCTGGGATTACAGGCACCCACCACCATGCCCGGCTGGGTTTTGTATTTTTAGTAGAGACGGGGTTTCACTATGTTGGCCAGGCTGGTCTTGAACTCCTGACCTCGTGATCCACCCGCCTTGGCCTTCCAAAGTGCTGGGATTACAGGTGTGAGCCACCACGCCCAGCCTCTGTTATCTATTTCTATGGATCAACTTTTTTAGGTTCCACATAGGAGTGAGAGCATGTGGTATTTATCTTTCTATGCTTGGCTTACTTAACCTCATATTCTCCAGATTTATCCAAGTTGTTACACATGACAGGACTTCCCCCTTTTTTATGGCTGAGCAGTATTCTATTGTGTATATATACATCTTTTTCATCCATTCATCCATTGATGGACACTAGAGTTGATTCCATATATTGGCTATTGTGAATAATGCTTCAGCAAACAAGAAAATGCAGATATCCCTTCAACATACTGATTTCATTTCCCTTGGATATATACCCAGTAGTGGGATTGCTGGATCATATGGTAGTTCTATTTTTAAGTTTTTAAGGAATCTCTATACTGTTTTCCGTAATGACTGTTCTAATTTACATTCCCACCAACAGTGTACAAGAGTTCCCTTTTCTCCACATCCTTGCCAACACTTGTTATCTTTCATCTTTTTGATAATAGTCATTCTAACAGGTGTGTAGTGATAATCTCGTTGTGGTTTTAACTTGTACTTTTCTGATGACTAGTGATGTTGAGCACTTTTTGATAAATCTGTTGGCCATTTGTATGTCTTCTGAGAAATGTCTATTCAAGTTCTTTGCCCATTTTTAAATTGAGTCGTTTTCTTGCTGTTGGGTTCTTTCAATTCCTTATTTATTTTGGATATTAACCTCTTGTCAGATGTATAGTTTGCAAATATTTTCTCCCATTCTGTAGGTTTTCTCTTCACTCTGTTGTTTCCTTTGCTGTGTAGAAACTTTTTAGTTCGATGCAATACCACTTGTCTATCTTTGCTTTTGTCGTCTATGCCTTTACATGTTTTCTTGGATTTATGCCTGTTTCACTCTTTCTGAGTATTCATGTGTTCATTGCTAGTGTACAGAAAAAAGTAGCCTTTTGTATATTGATTTTTTAACTTGTGGCCTTGCTTATTTGTTCTAGGAGTTTTTTTTGGTAGATTCCTTGAAATTCTTTATGCGGATCATCATATCATCTGCAACTGGGGACAGTTTTGTTTTTTCCTTTTCAATCTATATGCCATTTATTTCATTTTTCTTTCCTTATAGTGCTGGCCAGAATAACCTGTGTTACCTAGCAATGGCAAAAGTAGACATCTTTGCCTCTAATTGTAGCCTTTCACCATTAAGTCTGATGCTAGCTGTAGGGTTTTTATGTAGGCGTTCTTTATCAAGTTGAGGAAGCTACCCTCTCTCC